ACTTGGACAAGCTCACAGAAGTATCTACATGTGTGCATACAAAATTCCTCTATTCAGAATAGTGTCAGTGGTAGAAAGAGAATCAGAGTGGCCTGTGGACCACAGGCCAGGCATTCCTATTTGGATATCAAAGAATTCAGACAAATCCAAAAGCTCCAAATTCAAGCCTGTCTTTCAGATGCTTTTGAAGGTACATCTGTCAGGATGCAATGATAGACTGTATTGCATTTAACAGTTTTTCAGCTGAATCCTGTGCAGTGGTGCATACCTGTCACCCCAGACACTTGGGAGGCTGAGGCAGGAGGATCACAAGTTTGAGACCAGCCTCAGCAATTTAGTGAGACCCTCAGCAATTTAGTGAGACCCTGTCTCAAAATAAAAAATAAAAATAAGAAAGGACTGGGAATGTAGCTCAGCGTTCAATCCCCAGTACTGGAAGAAAAAAAAGAAAGAGAGAAAGTTCGAACATTTCATTTAATACACAGGCCTCTGGTATGTGAGCCACTACTTAGTCTTGCCCTAAAGCTGACAAATGTCAGATGCAGGTCTATTCTTTGTACAGACATACACAAATAAAATAAACGTATAAAGAAATGTAAAGTAAAACTACAGTGCCTACAAGAATAAGAATACTATTTGGATCCTTCCTAAAATCCTCTTGATTYATTCCCAGGGCTCTCATTGCATGTTGGGGTCTCCAGGTTCCCCCCCTTCATTCTCTTATGAAGTAGAGAATGTCATCTGAAAGCCCTTTTCCTAACCCTAAAATAACCCAACACACTGAACATCCTGTGGCATTCTTGCCTCCTCTGAAGGCAGAGTTCCAAGGAGGCYAGACACAGAAGAACGAGGAAGGCAACCTAGCCCGTGAAACCCCTCCGTATTCATTCTCTGCTGTCTATTAGATCGAGATCAGGTCCCTTCCACCTGTTCCTGACTGCCATGGTGGAGAGCATCCTGGGGCCACCTCCAGGCACTTCACATCTGCCCCACCTGGGAGGTGGTTTCACCTCTTTGTGAAGTTACCCATGGGACTCTTCATCTCTTCTTGCAGCCTAATCCAATTCTTCTCATTGGGTCATCAGCAACAACACAGAAGCTCCTCTGGCTAATTAGGGGAAAGGTGGCAAATTTTCCCTGCCACCCCATCTCTCTGAATAGGCACCCCATCCACTACCCGCTTTTAAATGTGCCTCTCTTTCTTGTACTAGTATTACTGTAATTCACTTGGGCCCACCCACTGCGTGTTCTTGATCTCTGTCAGTGCCTGTGATGTCTGGATTAGACAGTGACAYCCTAGAGGGCAGGGCCACATCTACTGTGTGCCCCTAGCTCCTGCTCTGCAGAGCAGCAGGCACAGGTAGGTGCTTAATAAAGCTTTGGTTTTTGAAACAGATGAGCAGCACTCTGTGTCCAAAGTATTGTAAATGTAAGAAAAAGCCATCTGTGACCATAGCCAGCCTCCCGCCAGCCAGTGAGCTGGRGCATACTTTTTCTACAAAGCAAGAAGAGCACTCTCTTGCATTTGAGATATAATAACAAAAACACTGTGACAACACTGCTCTCATAGTACTGGATGATTTGATGCTCAGAATAATCTTATGAAGTAGAGAATGTCATTATTTTTACAAATGAGGAGTCGGAGGCACAGAGAGATGGGGTAAGTTGTTAAGCCTCCTAACTGGACCACCTGGATTTAGAGGACTCCGCATAATACCATGGTACTCTGGCCCTCGAGGTGGACAAGGGCAGTTTCAACCACAAGTAGAAGGTGAGGAGGTGCCAACTGGGCTCCTGCCTGACAGTCTAATGGGTCCTTGGTCCCTGTCATCCATGAATGAATGGCTGCTACTCAGGAACTATCCAGAGTGGAGYCAAGTGGATTTTCAAAGCATTTGTTCCCACCCCAGCCCTTTCTTTCCTTCTGTCTTCTCATCTGATTTCAAACATGCCAAACTTTGTCCATAGTCAGGTTTCTGAGCTTGCTGTTGCCTGTACCTGAAGTGCCCTTGCCTTGTCTGTGCATGGCTGGGTCCTTTTCATCATCTAAGTGTCAGCTCAGAGGAGACATTCTGAGGAAGGATTTTCCTGATTGCCCTCTTTACTGTGGTGGCACCTCTCCCATCCCATCCCTTGCATTCATGACTAACTCACTTTCTGGTGTTAGTTTCATCTTACTTGGTCTCATCATGGCACCCTGGGCTATCTGAAATCKCCTGATTTATCTATTTTTTATTTATTTCTCTATTTATTCATTTCTCTATTTCTGTGTCTCCACCATAATGGAGCTTCAGGAAAGCAGAGATCTCATCTCTTTTGTTCACTCCTGAATAGTGCCTGGAACAGCATCTGGCATACTGTAGATGCCCCAGAAACATCTGTTAAATAAATGCATGCAGGCATGCATGCAGGAATGAAAATTCCTTTGTAGMTATGTACAAAGGTAGAAAGAGCTGCATCTTCCTGTTGCCCTTCACCACACATATTGCAAGCCCTTTGCAGAAAGAGATCGAGTCTTTATTTGTCTTTTAGTTCGTAGAGAAGTAGCAAATGAGTGAGATGGTGGATAGGAAGGGAGGTTTCCAGTTCCTTTGTTTGGGCAGGAAAAGACCAAGATATTCAGCTCCTGAGATTACAGACTGCTCTCCCTCCAGGACCATGTGTAGACTATGGCTGGACAGCTCTCTCTCTCTTTGAATAGAAACTGAAATTCAGAAATCTCAGGCTGCCCACCTTTCTTTCTCTTTCTGCATCTTCATTTCTCTTCCTTTTTTAAAGTTTACCCTATCTGTTCTCCTTTGTCTTCCTTCCTCATTGAAACTCTGTGACCAAAAGCAAGAAGTGGGAAAGTGTGTTCTCCATATCTAATTACTCTTACTACTATAACACAACCTCACCAAAACCTCTTGGTTTCTGCACAAAATAAACCCTCACAACATAATAATCACATGTAGAAAGTGCTTGATTTGATCCAGTCTTAATGTAGACATAGCCCCCTAGTCCTCCCACATAATAACAGAACCMATTGGTGCTAGCTTTTAATCTAGTGCTTTATTTATGACACATAGTACAAATAATGAACAGAAAAGCAAAGCTCCCAACCTCTGACCAAACCTGGTATGACATGAAGGCATTTCACATATTGCTAATGATCCCTTTCCTTTTCTTTTTTCAACAAAAAAGCCTTTTCAATAATTTCAATAATACAGCCTTTACAGGATCARAATACATGCTCATTATAAATGGATTTTTCCCAAGATATTTTTATACTCATTATCTTCTGGTCCCTCTTGTAAAGAAAGGGAAGGGATGGCAAACAGTGCCTTGCAGAAATTGGAAAAGAGGCACAGAGACATAAAGCTGTTTGAAGAAGTTCACACAGCAGGTGAAATATTTCCCAGGACACATTCCAAGTCCTGCTCTAGCCAGAAGGCACACTCCCAGCAGCCCCTGTATCATGCACACCTGAGCCAATCCATGTGGGAGAAGAAAGAAATTGCTTAGGAAGGCAGGAAACTAAATATTTTTTTCTTTTGGAGAAGATGAAGTTCCTGATGGGGAAGACCCTGACCCAGAGGAACCCAAAGTAAGGCTCACTCTCGACCCCCTACCCCATGGCACTGCCAGAGGCTCAGCCTTGGCAGTGGAGCAAAAGGCTGGAAAAAAAGATGTGGAGCAGACATCCTGGACCTTCTCACCTCACAGGAGTTTWCAACTCTGGGCAACATTTTGTTTGGTGCTTCAGGTAATCTTAGTCACAGGGAGGAAGAACACAGCCCTCAGCTTCTCAGAGACATTTATTCACACTGAGATCTAAATCACTTCCCCTTATCATTCCCAGGCTTCAGCCCCAGGCATCATGGGTCCCTGAAGTGCTTTGTCCATTCAGAGCAAAGAGAAAAAAAATGAATGAAAATGTCAGCTAAGCCTGCCTTGCACAGAGCAAGCCCTCAGSAAGAACCAGGGCTGGTCAGGAGCACTAGGGTGGCATTCTATTTCCCTTTTTCAAGGCACACCCAGAAGTCTTCCCTACGCTTCAGGAAGCCGAGGTGAGCACAAAATCCTGCTTATGTTGGAATCGAATATTCCTTTGCCTGCATCACTAATGAGATCAGATTTTTCAGGTGAGCCTTTTCTGTCTGGGATTATCTGCAAAGTATTTTCACAACTCATTACTTCTGAAGAGTGTACACATGCTATCCAGTGTTTCAGGCACTGGATTGTAAGTGGAGTAGTAAATGAGGTGTCTGCAAAAACCTGAATGGAGAGGGTGGGGAGGACCCACCGGACTTGAGAAATGTGTCCACCACGGGATGCTTGGCATCYCCTGTCCTGGGCGGGGAAAGTTTTAAGGGAGACTCTTTGTCAGTGCACATTAGGCCTATGAAGAGGAATCGATATGACCGGATTCCCTATTTCCTTCTCCATGTCCCTTAAACTCACTCGTACCTGGACTTGCCTACCAGCTTCAATATAGGAAAACTTGAGAGTGTTTGAGAAAAGTGAGATAGTCTCAAAGTGAAAAATATAGACTTACTGGATTTCACCTATAATAACAGGGAAAGAGAATAAATTCTTGGCACACTTTCAGAGAGGGAAGAAGTTTGACAGTGGGGCTGAAGATGATCTGGGGAAGATGTTACTGGCAAGAAATCAGTGAAAAGGATCTCTTGGCAACAGGCCTGAACATACCACCAAGTCCCTTCATTTCTTTTGGATCTTGGATTCTGAGTGATGTTTATGGAATGTTTTGGATGGAGTTGAAGTCACTAGTACGGAGAGGAAAATGTAAAAACCAGGGGACAACTGAGCCACCAAACAGCCTCCATCAGAAACCAGACAACTATTGGGCAAACTTCACTACAAGAAACATCACTGAGAAGCTCTTAAAACTTATAGTCCTTGACACTGGTAAYGGCATGATGGTTCCCCAGGGCAAGCAGGTGAGCAGCAACCTGCAGGACCTGGAGATGCCACAAGGAAGGGGGAAAGGGACTCACCTGTTCTGGCCCCTGGAAGCAGATGCGGCAGAGCGGAGTCCTCATACCACTGTCCAAGCTACTGCCCAGTGAGTAGCGATCCTCAGCCTTCTTACAGAAATCATCTGAGGAGGCACTGCTGAGCAGTGAGGCAGGTGGCTCTGCTTGGCCACCCCAGTCATCTTCCACAGAAGAAGGTGGCAAAGGTGGTGGAGGTGGCAGAGGAGGGGTCTCCCTGCCCACCACTTCTCGAGGGCCCCTCCAGCCTGCCCACCCTCCGGCGCCCAGAGCCGGAAGGGTGTTGTTGTTGGCCGCCACACCCGGGGGCTGGGGGTCGCCGTGCATGGGCAGGGGCGCTGGAGGGGGGCGCCTCAGTAGGAAAACCTTCAGGTCATTGAAGAGCATGCGGCAGCGGCACTTGAGGAGACCCTGGTGGCGCAACATCTGGGGAGCTGGGGTGCACAATCCACAGCAGTACCAGCCACAGAAGCAGTAGCAGCACCACCACCACCAGAACAGCCCACCCAGGGGCATCAGCATGTGCCCACAGAAAGCAGAGGACCCAGAGGGCAGCTGGAGTCTTTGAAGAGGTGAATAGGATGGGGCTTGGGGTCCACAGTGTTGCTGTTACTGGAGGAATCTCCTTTCTTACTGGTTCTTCTTACAACCCCTCCAAGCAGCAAATAAATTGCTCCCAGAACTGAGAACTGTGAGTCACTGATTCTGAACTCTACCTGGAAAATGCAAAACAAAAAAGTTTTTCTTGCCTTTGCAGCCCAACCCCTTCTCAGACTTTGCTCAAGGTGTCTCCTTTTCTGTCTTTGACCCCAAAACTCTGGAAGGAGCAGGGTGACGGAAGAAGTGTTGATGCTGGGCTGTTAGAACCTTAAGATCAATGTCTAATTGTTAAAAGTTCCCCAGGAAAAGATTACTGGGTTCTTCTCGAACCCCTTGGCAGTGGTAAATCTCTTTCTTTTATATAAAAGGGTGAGGAAGGTTATAAATCAAATTTGAAGTGGACTGAGCTGGGTTTAGGGAAATCTAGCTCAATGAAGAATTGAGGGCTGCATATGTGAGAGAGAAAAGGTAGTTTTCCTCAGGTAGTAGGAGGGAACCGGTTGAGGGGGAAAGGTGGAGGCAGAAAGGAGGCTGGAAGAAGTTTTAATTCTCCTGGGCAGAAAACTGGGGCAATTAACCCCCGGAAGCACCAGAGTTGCTTTAAGAACAGTTRGGTGGAGGAGAGAAGGTTGCAGGCTATATTGGGCAAGGGGGTTGTGCTTTGCCTATGCAGCCAAAGGGCTACACGGAAGAAGGGAGAGCCAATTTGGTGAACAGAGGTGGGGAATTAGGGGGTTGAGGGAGAGGAAAGGAAGGCAGAACAAGAAAAGATCTTTTAACCCTCGMAGAGCCACGTCCTTCCTGAGAGTGAAGATCCTGGCTAGAGGAAGGGTGTGTATGGGGGTGGGTGTAGAGGGGGGTAGAAGAGGGGCGTGTGGGAGGGGACGGGAGAAAGAAATAGTTACATTATCTCAGCCCCTAACCCACTCCTGCTGCAGGCTGCAAATCCGTGGCCCCCTCCCCTTGGTTCCATCAAAGGTCCCTTCGGGCGAGGTGGAAGAAGGGCAGATCCCGGCGGGCGAGTGGCCTCGCCTTCTTCTCCTCTTCCTCCTCTGGGTCGTTGTCACCCTCCTCTGGCTCTTGGGCTGCCCGCGCCCGCCGCTGCTGCTGTGGCGGCAGAGGCGACTGCTGGTCGGCGTCCGGGTGTCTCCGGGGCGGGGGCTGCTCGGGCTCGTCCTCTGGCYGCTGCCCACCGTCCGGCGCGGTGGCGACTCCGGGCTTCATGATCCTCCTCCTCCTCCTCCTCCTTCCCGGGGGGCCGGCCCTGAGCCCCCGCGCCCGGGCAGTGCTGCCATGCAACCAGAGACGAGGCAGGCGTGGGGGTGGGGGCGGTTGGGGAGTGAGGAGGGGGGGATGATACAAAAATGAAAGAATACTAATGTAATAATTCGATTCTCAGATAATCAGGAAAGAGTGCTTCTGGTGGGTGGGGGCGGAGGAGGGCGGCTGCCAGGTCTTCTCGGCAGCTCTGCCCCCGCTACCCCCACCAAGGGCGGCCTCGCCGGGCTCTGTGCCCCCACCCCCACCCCGCCCCTCCCTCCTGTCGCGGCCTCTGGCTGGCTGGACTCGCCGCGGCTACCTCTCCTCGCCGATGCAACTAGGTAAGGCTTGTCGGCGGTGCCAGCCGAAGGTGGGGAGGGGGGAGCGGAGCAACGTGGCCGAGGTGGGAGGCAGCSGGCACTTGGCTGCAGCTTGGTCCTCGAGACTCCCCCGAACCGTGTACAGATATATCTCGTATAAAAGCTGAAAGGAAGCAAATCAGATTCCAGGCTGCTGCCAGGTGTTGTCTTCCGCCGTTGCTCAGCACCCGCCGCCGCSACTGCTGCCCCCCTGGCTCAGTTCCCAAAGGGGTGGTGCTGGAAGGGAGGTGGCGGGGCGGTAAGCTGACGGTCCGAGGACTGGAAACGAGGTTGCCGGAGCGAGGAGGCTCCCAGCGATCTCCACCGCCGCGGCCGAGGCCGCCGCCGCTGCATTCAGCACCCGGGGCGAGTGGACAGCTCCCACCCAGACCCCGCGCGTCACGCTAGTGGGGGCCTGACGCAGACGCCACGGAGGGATGGAGGAGGGAAAGGAGACGAGAGGGAAAGAGGCTAGAGGGAGAGGGAGCAGGAGGAGGAGAAAAGAACCCTGCGAGGGAAGGGGATGGGGAGGGACCAAGGGAAAGGGAGGTAGCAAGAGAGGRGGGAGCCAAGTGAAGAGTAAAAGGTAAAGGCAGAAAGGTAACTGGGATGGCGGGGTGGGGGCGGTGTGATTCAGGTACTAACTCCCGCATTTCCACCCAGGTGGAAACGGTCAGTATGGATGGTACCGTTTGTAGGATTTCTGCCCATTTATTGTCACCGCTGCCTTCAGTGCATGTATGCAGAGACAGATACCTCTCAATCAGTGTCCATGTCTCTATTCATATAAACACTTAAAGTAGTTGTCCGTCTGCAAGCTTTGGAAGAGACAAAGTTTTGTGACTTTGATAYTGGAGTTTGGACTTGACGCAGACTAAAGTCCCTCATGACTAAGACCTCAGGAGAAAGAAACTCTTGAAACCTACAAGCAGAAAGGACAATGCTAGCACCACGTTTGACCGATTCTCCCTATAGAATTTAAGCTCCAATGGGCCGGCTATTTATTTTGTTGGTTTGTTTGTTTTGGCCCATTTTGATTCCATGTGCCCAAGTCAGTGGCATATAGTAAGGTAAATATTTGTTAAATAACTTGTGATCGCCATGGCCACAATCATCATTACTCCAAATCTAGTCCTTTTTTAGTGTGAATCATAAGAATCCAGAGCAATATTATAGCCTCATCTTAACCAATATCCCCAACTGCCTCCATATCCAAGCTTTTTACTGAGCCACCTGCAAGGAGTAATTTGAAATGGATTTTAATTTCCTCTCATTTTTCTACTCCTGACTCATGTCACCCTACCCCATCTCTCTCAAGGAGTTTATAGTGAGCAGGAAAGTATCACTCAATGTGCAGAGCTAGAGGAAGAAGGATATTTAAAAGAGTTTGTGTAAATAACCAGTAATTGCAGCTGTAGACTTTGGTCATTTAAAACTTAAAAAAATACTTCTTGACTTTTCTCTTAAATCAATCAATCTCTCTCTCTCTCTCTCTCTCTCTCACACACACACACACACACACACACACACACACACAYACACACACACACACACACACACACACATACACACCTCTAGGGTCATAGACTTGGGGAAGATATTCCAATGAGTCATCTATACAGCTGTGATAATGTGTCTAGAAACACTGAAACCATAGACACAGCGCCATGCAAAATCTCTGCACCAAAATATCGTTGGCATGAAGTTCAGCCCAATGAAGCATAAGAAAACTACCCCTTTGCTGACATCTCCGTGAATGATTCATTCCTTATAAGCTCTAAGGAACAAGAATTTACGTCTGGGTCTTGATTATCCCTGCATGGCTGCTTATCTGAATCATGCCCCAGTACACACTATGGATGCTAAGACCCTGTCCAAGATGAGTGGTTTGAGAATGATGCTGATGCTTTTAATAACTACAAAATAATGCTTAAATTATTGATATCTGTATGGACACTGTGCTATGAAAACAAACCTCTTTATTGAAAATCATCTGTGTTCCACTCACCCTGTATCCGCCTCTGGCATTGTGTAATTCGCTATAAAAATCATCTCATTCACCTCCCTTCATATGACTCAGAGCTCCTTGAAGGGACCAGTATTTATATTTGTATCAGCAGCATATAACACCACACCTAGAGTCCAGTAGATGACAAAAAATAGCTTTATGAATAAATAGATATTTTTTATTCCAGTGAAGTCACATATTTCTCCCCTTTGGTCTAGATAAATATGTGTGACATACATGACAAAATATCTGCTTTGTCTAAAATTGATATTTAGGTTTATATTCATAAAATGCTAGTTCCAAATATGGTATGCAAGTGAACTGGAGCACAAAATAGAAAAGCCATCTGAAGCCTATCTTCAGAGTCATAGAAATGGGTGATGTTCATAATAAGACCACTTCTCCCAACCCTTCCACTGAAAGAATAAAGATTTGTATAAACAATAAGTTGCCAGGGGTGGGATAAAACAATAAGATTGTCTTTGGAGAGACTGAGAGGCTTGAGAACTCTATTGTGTATATAATGGGAATCCTGAAAAACATTTCACTGAGTTAGACTCTCCTTATGTTGGTGTTGAATCATGAGCCCCGAGAGTAAAAACAACCATAAAGAAAATGTTAAATCAATGGATCTCCATTTAAACATTCAAACAGTATTTACTGAACACCATAGGTAAGCAATGGTGTTGGAAGATAAAGAGAGCACAAAAATGAGTTGGTTGGAACTGCATCTTATAGGGTCTTCTATGTACTTACTCATAATGAAAGGCATAAAATAATAAGTGCAACAAAGTGTGAGAAGTTTTAGGAGTGTTCTGAATTGGGAGGTAACACAGTTTGGCAGCAATTAGGAGAGGTGGGAAGAGGGGTGGGGGAGAGAGATGGAGATAGATGCCAGATCTCTAGGAAGCTTTTTTCAAGAAATGACATTTGAACTGAGTTAAAGTATATAGAATTCAAAGGAAGAAAGCACATTCCTGCAGTAGAAACACTGAATACTTTAGTTCTTCCATTTGGTTGGGCTGGAAGGGGATTGAAGCTAAGTAACTAGAAGTGAAGGAGCCAGATTACAGAAGGCCCTAAATGCCACTCTAGGGAAGATTTATTCATTGACCAGGTACTTGTTTTAATGGTTTTAAAGATTTGGAGCTGAAGGTGAAGGGCAAAAATAAACTTTATCACTGAGCAGGTTAATTAACTGGATGGAATTTCGTTGCTAACAGGTGGGAAACAATCAATATTTTTTCATTATTTTCCACATCCAACCTCAGTTTTCTTATCTGAAATAGCTATGTGAATGAACTTGGCAGTGGATCCTTTCCCAGTTGAACCTTGAGTGACTACAGCATATCTTGACAGTACCCTCATGAAAGTGCCTGAGCAGCTCACGTGCCCCTGAATTTCCTAACCTACAAAAACCATGAGATAAATGAAGTTATTCTAAGTCCTCTGTACACTGTCATATCTCTCACCACCAACACATATACAGAGATAGCTACCTTTCTGCCAGAGTTCATTTTGAATAGATATCAGTCTAAAAACACCTTGGATGAGATAAAGTTTCTAGAATCCCTTATTGGGCCTAAGGACCTGGTAGATTCCAAAATGACTATGAACTCATGAGAAGGAAATGCTCAACAGGAAGGGAAAATGCTACCATCATTATCTTCCATTTCTTTTTCTAGAATTTAGACTTCATAGCTATTTCAGATAAGAAAACTGAGGTTGGATGTGAAAAATAATACCTGCCACATGATTCAAGATCAGAAAAATCACTTGAGTAAGGTACTTATCAAAATGTGAATTCCCAGGTTGCTCCTCAAGAAATTCTTATTCAGTAGACTTGGGTGTGGCACCTTAGAATTTCTGTTTTTAATGAGCACCCAGGCATTTCTGAGTACATAAGAAGAGGGCATGAGGTCCTATATTTCGTTAATAATTTGCATATTAATAATAACTGTGCAATTATTCTTAAGGAGCTATATATTTGAGGAGAGTCAACTGGGATAGAGCAAAATTATACTGAGGATCAGAAAATGTATGAATTCTAGCCTTTGTCTGACACTTGGCTGTGGGATATTTGGATCAGAGCTGTCTGATCTTTCCAAATCTTTTTTTTTAAGTCTCTGTAAAATCTCCTATAACCTTGGTACTGTTGTATAGGTAAAGAAGAAACAAGAACAACCAGCCTGAAGTCCATTTAGAGTGTGGAGAATCAAGTGCAGAGGCCTTCACAATGAGTCATTGGGTCTGAATTTTTGAGTCTTCCAATATTTCTTCCTGTAGACAATTCCTTGGAGCCTCTCATTCTTCTACTCTTCTTCTAATTGATATGACCCCAACATCTCTGTATGTAATGAAATATATCTGAAAACAAACCCGTTTAAAAGAATAAATCTATTAAGGAACTGAGAACTTTCTGGCATGAAATGAAAAAATATTGATTGCTTCCCACCTGTTAGCAACGAAATTCCATCCAGTTAATTAACCTGCTCAGTGATAAAGTTTACTTTTGCCTTTCACCTTCAGCTCCAAATCTTTAAAACCATTAAAACAAGTACCTGGTCAATGAATAAATCTTCCCTAGAGTGGCATTTAGGGCCTTCTGTAATCTGGCTCCTTCACTTCTAGTTACTTAGCTTCAATCCCCTTCCAGTCCAACCAAATGGAAGTCCTCTTTTACTTATGGATCATGAGAATCCAGAGCAATATTACAGCCTCATCTTAACTAATATCCTCAACTTCCTCCTTATCTAAGCCTTTCACTGAGCCAGACAATAGGCAATTTGAAATGAATTTTAATTTCCTTTCCTATTTTGGCTCCTGAATCATGTCATCCTACCCTCATCCTTCTCAAGAAAATTCTAGTAAACAGAAAAGTGTCTCTAATGAAGTAGCCTAATGAATGCCATAAGGAAACTAAACAGGGTAATGTGATAGGGAATGATCAGCATGTATGTTGATGGAGGAACATAGATGTTTGGGGTAATGTGTTACACTGCAATTGATAATTCATAACTCATACATGAGGGTACTCAGAA